ATGTCACTGATACACATAAAAGACTAGAAAATCAGAATGGTGTAAATAGAAGCTATAAGTGTCTCTGATACACATACAAAGACTAGAAAATCAGAATGGTGTAAATAGAAGTTATAAGTGTCCCTGATACACATACAAAGACTAGAAAATCAGAATGGTGTAAATAGAAGTTATAAGTGTCTCTGATACACATACAAAGACTAGAAAATCAGAATGGTGTAAATAGAAGCTATAAGTGTCACTGATACACATACAAAGACTAGAAAATTAGAATGGTGTAAATAGAAGCTATAAGTGTCCCTGATACACATACAAAGACTAGAAAATCAGAATGGTGTAAATAGAAGCTATAAGTGTCACTGATACACATACAGAGACTAGAAAATCCATTTTAAATCAATACAACAAAAGCACATTTTCTTGCACCTTATAAGCCTAAAGGCTTAGAATGCCCTGGCAAAGTCTTTTATAACTATGAGTATTGTTTTTAAGTGAATCTTCTAGCAATAATCCCTGCAGGCTACACTGGCTACAAATCTAATATAAGCTTTCAGATTAAAGGTGTCCTCACACCATAGTGATTACCAGTTGCTGAATGGTTGCGAATAATAAAAGTGGTCAGTACCGAACGCAACTAGCAACTCAGTTGCATGAGAGTTGCGTTCGAAACTTATAACCGATGTTCTCGTTCGCAACCCTACACAACTAGTGATCGCCATGGTGTAAGAGCCCCTTTAGATCGTGGCCTTATGAAGTAAAATGTGTGACAGTAGCAGAGTTCGATGTCTGATACAATATGGCTTTCCTTCAAGCTATCGAGTCCATTGAAATGTCAAATAGAAAAACATACACATAGTTTTTGACATTCATAATCCAATCAAATCTTTGCATTTACAAACCTCCGTGATGCCAGAATAGTGGCTAGTGTAGTCAAGACCTAAGCGCAAAGTACGCAATGACTTGGCATTGGTTGGTAGTTTATTGATTCATCTATATTATTGGATCCTTCATTTTTCATCCTTCGAATAAGTCCAGTGTGCCGTCAATTGCTGGAATTCGTTGAAAATTTAGTTGCTAGCAGTTGTTAAAAAATCAGGTCGCAAGTACGACCTGTGCCGCCCTGTACTAGCTAACTAGATAACAGCTGTTTAGCACAATCAAATCATTCATTTATCAGATTAAAGCCGGTGTAGGTGTAGGATTATTCTTCTATTTCTGTCGTTTGATCCGGTCGTAATCCGCTTTACGACATCAGCATTAAGTTCAACAGGATCTCACGTAGAGGGATAAAAAGCCTTAAAATAACTTTTAACAGTGCATATGGTATCCCCTGTTCGTGATTAAAACATGGCTCTCAGCGCTACCATGGCTCTCAGCGCTACCATGGCTCTCAGTGCTACAACGGCTCTCAGTGCTACAATGGCTCTCAGTGCTAATGTGGCTCTCAGTGCTACCATGGCTCTCAGTGCTACCATGGCTCTCAGCGCTACCATGGCTCTCAGCGCTACCATGGCTCTCAGTCCTGCCATGGCTCTCAGTGCTACTATGGCTCTCAGTGCTACCATGGCTCTCAGTGCTACCATGGCTCTCGGTGCTACCATGGCTCTCAGTGCTACCATGGCTCTCAGTGCTACCATGGCTCTCAGTGCTACCATGGCTCTCAGTGCTACCATGGCTCTCAGTGCTACCATGGCTCTCAGTGCTGCCATGGCTCTCAGTGCTGCCATGGCTCTCAGTGCTCCTATGGCTCTCAGCGCTACCATGGCTCTCAGCGCTACCATGGCTCTCAGTGCTACCATGGCTCTCAGTGCTACCATGGCTCTCAGGGCTACCATGGTTCTCAGTGCTACCATGGTTCTCAGTGCTACCATGGCTCTCAGTGCTACCATGGCTCTCAGGGCTACCATGGCTCTCAGCCCTGCCATGGCTCTCAGTGCTACTATGGCTCTCACTGCTACTATGGCTCTCAGTGCTACCATGGCTCTCAGTGCTACCATGGCTCTCAGCGTGATTCAAAAAGCATCGGAACCTTGGGGAACAAACAAATATATTTCACATATTCTTTAGCCTAGTCAGATGCAGAACAGTCGACTTTTTGCTTAAAATGTATGTGTAATGTACAGCAGATTTTGTCGATAATGACGTCATTAAACGCCGACTTTCAGAGAATTGTAAGATCCACTGACGTCTGTTTGAAATGGTGAAATTTGAGGCTATCAGTGTCCCAGATACACATAAAAAATTACGAAAACTTCTTTACAATCTCTTTAAGTGGAACCACCTCTTTGTAAACTAACTGTACTATCAGTTTACCTTGCGAGCTCAATGACCGAGTAAAAGTTGTATTTTTATCTGGCACGGTTGTAATGGTGTTAAAATATCAATGCCAAATCAACTCAGACATATTGCAGAATTCTTAGTCCGCAAACCATTCTATAATTTTTCCGAAAGAGGATACGTGTAACTATTATTATGTGTTATCGGCTGGTAAAGAAGTTGTTTAAATGAGCATGTCTGTCTATATAAGTTAATATACCATGGGTAAAGTGAAGATATGCAATATATATAATTAGATATCGGGAAAGGAAGGGTTTGATTCTCCCAAATATACAGGTCTAGGATGGAACAAACACTTCATTGAGAAATGGAATAAGCCATCATGACGATCGGTAAAACGAGAATTTTAATGTTTATTGGGTAGTCTCCTGAACATGCCTTCCGAGGTAATTGATATCCCCTATGGTTATATTTCGTAAAACATGAATGGGAAAAGAATGCCATGTTCAAAACATGAACAAATCTTTACTGCTCCAGTTCAAACTGTATTTTTTAAAAAAAAAACAGAAATAAATCTGTGGACATCTTTTTATAAAGCTCCAAATTTAGGATTAAGACAGTTTATGACTAAGACAGTTTATGACTAAGACAGTTTATGACTAAGACAGTTTATGACTAAGACATTTTATGACTAAGACAGTTTATGATTAAGACAGTTTATGATTAAGACAGTTTAGGAATCAGTTTAGGAATCAGACAGTTTAGGATTAAGACAGTTTAGGATTAAGAAAGTTTAGGATTAAGACAGTTTAGGATTAAGACAGTTTAGGAATAAAACAGTTTAGGATTAAGACAGTTTAGGATTAAGATAGCTTAGGATTAAGACAGTTTAGGATGAACACAATTTAGGAGTAGGACAGTTTAGGATTAAGACAGTTTAGGAGTAAGACAGTTTAGGAGTAGGACAGTTTAGGAATAAGACAGTTTAGATATAAGTCAGTTTAGGATTAAGACAGTTTAGGTTTAAGACAGTTTAGGAATAAGACGGTTTAGGAATAAGACGGTTTAGGAGTAGGACGGTTTAGGAGTAGGACGGTTTAGGAGCAGGACAGTTTAGGAATAAGACAGTTCAGGAGTAGGACGGTTTAGGAGTAGGACGGTTTAGGAGTAGGGTGGTTTAGGAATAAGACAGTTTAGGAGTAGGACGGTTTAGGAGTAGGGCGGTTTAGGAGTAGGACAGTTTAGGAATAAGACAGTTTAGGAATAAGACAGTTTAGGATTAAGACAGTTTAGGATTAAGACAGTTTAGGATTAAGACAGTATAGGATTAACACAGTATAGGAGTAGGACAGTTTAGGATTAAGACAGTTTAGGATTAAGACAGTATAAGATTAAGACAGTATAAGATTAAGACAGTTTAGGAATAAGACAGTATAGGAGTAGGACAGTTTAGGATTAAGGCAGTGTACGATTAAGACAGTTTAGGATTAAGACAGTTTAGGATTAAGACAGTTTAGGATTAAGACAGTATAGGATTAAGGCAGTTTAGGATTAAGACAGTTTAGGATTAACACAGTTTTTTCTACTCTTTCACTTTATATTGTATATTTATCTGAAAAATTGTTTTGCATTGAATATTTCATATCTTAATAACAGCATTCATAAACAATTTGATTTTAGCTCTAACATTTAAAGAAGCAAAATACACTGCACAATTCTGATTCCCTAAAAGTGAACCTACTAGGTCTAATACTTCAGACGTATTACGTCACTAAAAATCACTTATAGAAATGCTATATTTGGACTGATGACGTCAATATATCTGTATTAAATATGTCAATACGTGTATTGAGTGTAGACTGAAATCGATTTGAAAAAGAAATGAAAAGTTATAGAGCGTACAAGCTCTGTTTGTTTAAAATTTTCACGAGAAGTTAGTAGATTTATATATAACAAACCAGCTAATAGAACGTGATAGAGCTTTTAATTTTAATCTGCAATAGTATATTATGGATAGCTTCAATGTGTTATATCAGCTGGTAACTAAGGAAGGGGATTGAAGGAATTATGTGCTTTTCGTACATTGCTAGTACTTCTGAAGACTAATTACATATTTCAAAAAAAAAAAATTACATATTTCCAAGACTCAAGTCGAGCACCTAAAATGGCTCAACTGGCCCTTTAAATGTTTTTTTTCAACTAAAAAGACCCATAAATTTAAATGTCATAAAGATATAGTGATGACAATATTCATACACGATTTCACAATATCAGTTGGCCGTATTAAAATGAGAAAATAAAAGGTAAAAGGTAGTGAAGATTTATTGTTGTCACTTGTCAAATATCAGCTCATCAGACCTGCTGCATTGGCAGGGTTCAAAAGGGTTTAAAAATCAGAAAATAACACGTCGACCCTTATTAAACCCAGGGTACTGTTTCACAAAACAAATCTTACCATAAGATCGTATGATTTATTTACTTCTTCGCGTGGAAAGTTCGTGAGCTGCTACCATTGTTTCGATTATATTCAAGGTTTTGTTTTGCGGTTCGGATCTTTTACTTGGTTTATTTCTTCTACAGTGAGGACTTTACAACGAAAAATATCATAAGTAGGATAAAATTGATCGTTAGATTTTATATGAAACAGTTTATAGACCCCCAGGTTAGCGGATAAACATCTAGCTCGCAGAACTACACCGGCCCCTAACTCTACCTGTAACAAAAGTACAGACATACGGACTACCTCTCCTGGTGATGTAACACCTAGTTTCCTGTTTTTAACTGACACTGTGAGATAATACAATGGTACAGAGCCAAAACTATTAACACTTCAAACAATGTTCACAATGTCAAGCTATTACAAACTTCATCTTCACAATGTCAAACTATTACAAACTTCGTACTCGAACATCGACTACAATAGCCACTAATCTTGTATCACGTAAAGCGGCGATTTGATTGGAACTTCCGAATACAGCATATCAGTGCCCTCGGGTCTGTAGACCAGAATGGTGTAAATAGAAGCTATGAAGTTTGTAATAGCTGGACATTGTGAAGATGAAGTTTGTAATAGCTTGACATTGTGAAGATGACGTTTGTAATAGCTTGACATTGTGAAGATGAAGTTTGTAACAGCTTGACATTGTGAAGATGTAGTTTGTAATAGCTTGACATTGTGAAGATGCTCTAACATAAAATGTAGAGTTTCATTGAAAATATCTTCAATATGGTTAACTAATTATTACAAGGTGAATATAAACACACAAACCATTGATACAATTTTTTAACCTACATTCGTCGCTTTTATAGTACACAAATAATAAATAAACCAAGTATACAAAAGATCCGAACAGCTATAAACGAAACCCGAGATCCAAACAATATTTTGACGAAACATTGGTAGCAGCTGAATAACGTTACACATAAATAAGAATATCAATTATAAGCGAGTAAGTATTTCATAATGAAAAGTGGTATCAGGTGTCTAGAAGAGTAATCGTACCCTGCCTGGCACAGGATTATCACATTTTCATAATGAAAAGTGGTATCAGGTGTCTGGAAGAATAAACTGTCTCTCGTGATTCAGTCACAGGTAAAAGAATAAGAAATCAGAATTTCCATAACAACTTATATCATCTTAGAAACAAAGTGTTTACATTTTTATATTTCGTACCAAATCTCAGCCATGTTACATTGTATATGTTTATATGTTTTATGAAATCTTGTTTATCTGGTTGTAAAATGATTACTATATCTGGTTGTGAAATGATTATTATGTCTGGTTATGAAATGATTATTATATCTAGTTATGAAATGATTATTGTATCTATTTGTGAAATGATTATTATATCTGGTTGTGAAATGATTATTATTTCTGGTTGTGAAATGATTACTATATCTGGTTGTGAAATGATTATTATATCTATTTGTGAAATGCTTATTATTTCTGGTTGTGAAATGATTATTATTTCTGGTTGTGAAATGATTATTATATCTAGTTGTGAAATGATTATTATATCTGGTTGTGAAATGATTATTGTATCTATTTGTGAAATGATTATTATTTCTGGTTGTGAAATGATTATTATATCTAGTTGTGAAATGATTATTGTATCTATTTGTGAAATGATTATTGTATCTAGTTGTGAAATGATTATTATATCTATTTGTGAAATGATTATTGTATCTATTTGTGAAATGATTACTATATCTGGTTGTGAAATGATTATTATATCTATTTGTGAAATGATTATTATATCTATTTGTGAAATGATTATTATTAGATGCAATTCTTCTATATTTTCAGAAATAATAATGATAACGATAGAAAAAGTGAAAGATTGCGAGCAATAACAATGGGCTATTCCCACCAAGACCAGCAATACACAGCTCCCTGGCCATTTCTTGCCGATCAAGCCAAACTTTGTGAAAAATTCACATTCAATGATAATGATGTTATCTTAACGGCTTATGCTAAGTCAGGTATGTGTGCGTTCGGCAATTCTCGACAGTTTCCGTAAAACTCGGTAAGGAATAGTAGATTCCATTTTCATCTTGTAGTCCAAGTCATGTATTCTCGAAACAATCTTAACGCTAGGATGTCCTAGGGTATTATCTGCTAACATTGATTCTAGGATGTCCTAGGGTCTTATCTGCTAACATTGATTCTAGGATGTCCTAGGGTATTAACTTCCAAGCGTCTTAACTTTTAACACTGTATCTAGGATGTCCTAGGGTCTTAACCTCTAACACTGTATCTAGGATGTCCTAGCGCTCAGATCGTTTCGAGGAAACATAGCCTGACTGTTCAGACTGACGGTTTAACTACCACAGTTCCGGCTAAAAGTGGATGCCTTTCAATTCTATAATATGATGCAGAGCGGTAGAGGAACTTTCAAGGCAGACCATTTGGTATGTGTGTAGACACCCCCATCGTTCCTAGCAGTGGCGGTGCCAGCCTCTTGAGGCCTTAGGGGCCAACTGACTCAATGGGGGAAAACATATAAAAACAAATTGGCAAAAATAAAGTGGGGGTACAATTTGGGGTGCAAACCATTTTTTCTATTCCACCCCACCCCCACCATGCTACCACTGGTTGTTACAAAAACCTGTAATATTCATTGTTATATCATTTGTTTTGTAATATGTTCTAATTTCAACTCGTTTGTTTCCAGTTCAAACACTGAATTACCAACCTTAGCACCCTCGTTTACAACACCCCCTTATAAATAATGATCTAGATCTGTGGCTCACTTTATCCAAATAGCCACGTATGAAAATTTTGGAGTCACCCATTTCTTTGCATTTCAATCAGATTACTCCAAAAACTCGATTTCAGATTTCGTTTTCATTTCAGGTACACATTGGTTATGGGAAGTGTTATCCATGTTAATAAAAGGAGAAGCCGAACCCTCAAAATCAGCCAAAGAACGTCTGATGTTTAGTTTTGGTACACAGAAAGACTTTGATAAATACCAGTCCCCCAGGATTTTTAACACCCACGTGAGATATAAGGGACTTCCCAAATGTTTAAAATCGGAGAGTAATGTGAAGACTAAGATGGTGTATTTATTAAGAAATCCTAAAGATGTGGCCGTGTCGTATTATTATCATTTGAAGTCGGCAACAGATTTTGATTATAATGGTACCTGGAACGGGTTTTATAGTTTATTTATTGAAGGCAAAGGTAAATAATTTGTGTTATTTTTCATTATGAAATACTTACTCACTTATAATTGATATACTTCCTCTTGTGAGTAGTTCATTAGCTGCTACCTATTTATTTCCAACATGTTTTGAATTCGGGTTTCGTTTTGGGGTTCGGATATTAGTATTTTGTTTAATGATTATTACCAGCATTATTGTTAGTTTGATATAGTTTGGTTATATTGGAGTATTAGGCTCTCCTGTTAGTGAGATTCTATAGCATAGTCTATAGCATTGGTTCTTTACATGACGTCATTTGCTTGGTTACGTCGAGGGAATGGCGGCTGTTGGTTCCGATGTCTGATGACCTCGAATAAGTCAACTTCACTCAAAATTTTAGTCAACTCAGCTGTAAATGAATACGGATAATCTGGGAAAGATCAATGCCAAGAGGTTTGATCAAGGATCAGCTGGTAGAAAGGATCCTTAACTGTGAACCTAAGTTGTTATCTTTTGTAAAATATATCTATACTGTATTTTACCTCACAAGGGAAATAACTCGTGTCTATATTTTCATCTTACAGTGCCTGGTGGTTCTTGGTTCGACTATGTGGTAGAATGGGACAAAGAAATCAATTCAGGGAAACATCCAAACATTATCGTCATGTATTATGAGGATTTACAAAAGGTAAATTCCTATTGTTTATATATATGCTACCGGTGCTTAAGGAACATTGAGGCGTTCGTGATTGGCAGAAACTCGTCTTACCCAAAGATAATAATCTTCGCCGAGACAACAGAGGCGTATATACAAAATGAAAAATGCCTGAGGAGAGGGGAAAGGGTAAAAAACGAGAGGTGTCTCTCCGCGGTGAGGCCTCCCAGAAGCCAATGGATTTGGGCATTAAGAGGGCTTAATTTTCAACTATCTTCTTGACCAGGCCCGAGAGAGAGGCCATGGAACAATATGCTACTACCAGACAGGATATATCGCCACAAGTTTCTTATCTAAAAAGGCAAAGGGTCTTCACTCGTCCGGAATATTTAAGGATGCCACTTTCGACCTAGTTGTTCAATTCAGATCGTCGCTCTTAATGTTTATTCGCATTGATCCCATTTCAGAACTTTACATCAGAAATCAAGAGACTATCTGATTTTCTCGGCTTTAGTTATTCCAACGATCTCTTCACGGCCATAGCTGAAAAATGTAGTTTTTCCAGTATGAAAGAAAATGATGAACGATTGAAAGAACAGTTTCCAATACATATGTCGAAAGATGGAAAAAATTTCATTTATAGAAAAGGTAAATCTACGATTTATTCTTATTATAAAATTATCATTGAAATAACTCTCTTGTTGTAAAACACCAAAAGACCAAGTTCTCTTTTGAGTCAAATGATAAAAAAAGGTGCAAACTAAAGCAATTAGGGTTTCCGTCTGTCTTCATTAGCCCACATGGTGCAGAAAAGTAGGCCGTCACACTCCATTCGTTCTATTTCATTTACATTCGTGAATATTGAAACAATAGCGATCGTGTAGATGGTACAATATTGGCAGCAATAGGAACACAAAATTACAATACTTTTCTCTGATCTGGTGCTGATATTGTGACAATTATTTATCTTAGGTTATAGCTCGTGTTTCGAGCGATACAAGTTTCCGAATCTTCCAAACGGTTTGAAATCTGAATCTGTTACAGAGAGCCTTACAGGAGTTGCCGAAGGCTTTCTTCACTCACAACTCACGCTCTTGTAATCCTTTTTCCTGTCTTGATGTTTTTCAGGCGTGGTCGGGGACTGGAAGAATCATTTCACTGTAGCTCAAAACGACGAGATGGACCAAATTATCACCAACAGACTGAAGGACACAGATTTAAAATTCCAGTATTCGGTCTAGTGTAGATCGTTTATTACAAATCTAATCCATTGAATTCAACATATCAATCGTTATAGTCTCATTGTGTGATCCATCCAACCTCCTCCGCGTCTCTCGAAATAAAGCCTGGTGGTACGAGCCACCCAAACAAAGATAAACGGTTTACAAGGCTTGTGCTACTTGAACAATATACACTGTATGTAATGGCTCAATCAGATCAGTAGGGGTCGTGGACTAAAGAGGTTTGGGCCCTTCCTCAAATATTTCTTAATATGCTCTCCTGCATTTGTTTCTGTGGGTGAGGTTTCTTCCACTGAAAGATGTTCATTTCCCATTATTTTGGCGCCACCAAAATATGTACTTTTCCCATAATTTGCGCCACTGAAAGATGTACATTTCCCATAATTTGCGCCACTGAAAGATGTACATTTCCCATAATTTGCGCCACTGAAATATGTTCATTTCCCATATTTTGCGCCACTGAAAGATGTACATTTCCCATAACTTGGGCCACTGAAAGATGTACATTTCCCATATTTTGCGCCACTGAAAGATGTACATGTCCCATAATTTGGGCCACTGAAATATGTTCATTTCCCATATTTTGCGCCACTGAAAGATGTACATTTCCCATAATTTGCGCCACTGAAAGATGTACATTTCCCATATTTTGCGCCACTGAAAGATGTACATTTCCCATAATTTGCGCCACTGAAATATGTTCATTTCCCATATTTTGCGCCACTGAAAGATGTACATTTCCCATAATTTGGGCAACTGAAAGATGTACATTTCCCATAATTTGGGCCCTGAAAGATGTACATTTCCCATATTTTGCGCCACTGAAAGATGTACCTTCCCATAATTTGCGCCATTAGAAGATGTACATTTCCCATATTTTGCGCCACTGAAAGATGTACCTTCCCATAATTTGCGGCACTGAAAGATGTACCTTCCCATAATTTGCGCCACTGAAAGATGTACCTTCCCATATTTTGCGCCACTGACAGTTGTATCTTTCCCATATTATGAGCTAACTCAAAACTGTGCCATTTGCCTGACTGTCAGTAATTGGAAAGAATCGTGTTGAATTGTACTGCTTTTACCTTATTTGAGAAGAAATTGTGTAGAATGTAGGGTCCAACATATTTGCATCTGAAGATCATCTCTCTCTCTATATATATATATATAATTAAATGAGATCAATAACGTCGATAAAGATAGTTAATTTTTTACTGCCAACATGTTTCAATTTTATATTTTCAAGGCATATGCCTATGCCTTGAAATATGCTATGCCATATGCTATGCCTTGAAAATATGAAATTGAAACATGTTGGCAATAAAAATTAACTATCTTTATCGGCGTTATTGATCTCATTTAACTATATTCTACTTTTGTCAGACTTCTTTTTGGATTTTATGTATATATATATATATATATTAATATTTGTCAAATATTATTCTGCTGTTCGTTTTTAACATATATTCATAAAAAGTGTTATTCCAGTAACTGTTGAAAAACCTGAGAATATATTGTGATCTTGTTAATGTTTGATTTTGTTATTGTATATCTTGTTGAACTATAAATGTTATTTTCAAATAAAGAAACGAAGAAAACTAGATTGTACTTTGTGGTCAGGAGAATATAGAGCCGTTTTAAAGTCACTCAACCCTGATACTGATTCACATTGGTCCAAGCAATACAGCAATCTTATTTAATTATCATAACATTTGGCAGCTCTGTGTAATTTAGACGAAACTTAGAACGTCAGCTTTTCGTTCGACTGCAACGTTTAAAATATGGTTATTCAATCAATATTTTCAATCTGGACTCATTTAATATTTGAAATGAGTTTGATTTTGTCCTAAAATTTCGTTTCTTTTTTTATTAGCTTTTATTTTTAGTGTAGCCAGTACAGTTTTTTTAAATTCTAATTGACTGATTTTGACAATACCGGTACATTATAATAAACGACATCTATAGATAATGCCATATACCTTTTTTAATTGATCCCTTCATAAACAGACACATAAAAAATCATTTCATTACAAACCAGTCATGGCTACAGACAACATCAAACTTAAAACATACATTGAAAACAAGAGTTGTCTCCCTGAAGACGTTGGTTTTTCTTGAGGATTACTTCCATCGACTTCGACTTTTTGTTCGTTTTCTTTTAGAAGTTGATCTTTAATCACAGGTTTGTATTCAATCGAACTTTCAACATCACATTTACACGATTTCATAGCGGTCACAAACTTCAACGATTCGGCTGTATCTTTATCAGCCTGTATCATTCTTGAAAATGTAGTGGCCTCAGCGGCGCCATCTTTAAAACATTCATGGTTACGCATGACGTCATCAACTACAGCTCGACAACCATGACGACAATGTCCATCATAAGAGCAGACGTCTAACACCTTAAAAGAACGTAAAACTTTAAAATAATCCCTAAATTAGGTTACTTCCAGGGAGCTTTAACAGGTCTATCAAACATCCTTCTCTTAATCGGTTCCATGATGGTTTTGCTGTGACTTTATTCCACAGCTCAACTACCCAACGGGACTGATTGAACAAGGTCCACGGCTCTCACCCTCATAAAACATGCAAGAGGGCATATGCTTGAACAAAATATCCCGGGGAGGGCCCCATCCCACTTAAGTACACAGACAGACCCCGAAAAAAAGATATAAGAAGTAAGTTTGATATTTCTAATCTGACTGTACCTTGTCAATAAGATCTCTTGTCTCTGGGTTAGAATGATTATACAACGCTCTAAAATCACAATGTCGTTCTTTAAAATCACACATTTCAAAATCATTAATAGTCACACAATTTCGACTTCCTCGTATATTCTGGGCAGGATAAAAGTTAAAAATACCAAAACACATCTCGTCAAATGTTCCTAAAATAGACAGAAGAGAAGCTAGAGAGGGAGACTAGAGAGTAAAACTTTGTCTAAATACTAGAACAACATACACCTATAGTCCAAAAACATAGCAGTTAGTTTCAGACAAGTGTGCTTCTGTTTTAACAATGCGTACATACATATTACCCTAATACATTTCTACTGTAAGTTAAATTCACAAGATAGGTTACAATCCGAGAGAACTGCTCTCATGACATGACCACATTGTAGTATCGCGTGAATATCCGAGATTTTAACGCCTCCGATAAAAGGTGATTAAATGAAAGATCAGGTAGGCGAACAGGGGAGACAATAACATCCCTGGTGGCGTATCTATCCCTACCTTCTCCAAAAAATGCTGTTTCCTTTCTGGACAATGATCTGTAGGTACAAACCGTTTCAAAACTGTCTCCAGGATAAACAGGAACCGGGGAGTCATACCTTTAATTAAAATCAAATATTAATATAGCTTCACAATCTCGTTTTCCTTAAAAAGCAAACAGAAAAACTCATGTTCATTTTAAAACAGTTATAGAAATGGTAAAATTATTAAGATTGGTATAGCTCTCATTACTGCTCTAATATGAGCATTCAATGGTGCTTTATAAACACAGATATATCTATTAGATTAAGATTATAAGATTATTGAACTACTCTAACGTGAGCATTCTAGATATAGTGACAGGGTGGTAATAATTAATATACCAAGTACTACAATAAGTGATACCAAGTATGTTATAAGTTTTGATAAGTGAAGTTACAGGTGGCAATTACTGATAAAAGAAGATAAAATTTTCTATTGACAAACACAGATATATCTATTAGATTAAGATTCCTGATAATAGAAGATAACATTTCTATTGACAAACACAGTCAGTGTCAAAATGGTAACGTTATTATTGAAAAGTATAGTTACAGGGTGACATTAACAATAACGATGGCAACAAGTGATAAACATTACCATTATTGTCAAAGTGGCAAAAAGTAATAAAAGAAAAATATATTTTTTCTTACTTGTGTTTGACGGGTGTATCGTAGCTATAATGTTCATCATGGGTTAACATAATTTCCGTACCGTTAGCTCGAGTTAACTTTACATGCTGAGATATCCCTGAAAACAATACACTTTATAGACTACAAACAATCATTACAGAGTAGAATGATGATTAACTTTACATAAAATTTAAAATTCATGATGGGGCAAATTCGCTTCATTAACTTAAAATGCAGGATGAAACCAAGACCTACAGTCTTAAATAATACATTTGATTTGATTCAGTAGCAACATTAAAGAACTAAAGCGATACATCGCCGCTTTGCGGGTTTATAAAATTACTGTACAGGAATGTTCATCTAGGGACCAACCTACTTCAATAATGTCCATGATACCATCTATCATTAAAGCGACAAAAAGGTCTAATCTTTCAAGTTTGAAATAGTTCCAAATCCTATTTTTATAAAGGTTCACGAAGCCACATTAAGACGTCTAAGAGAATTAAAAGCAACAATGCGTTCTATGGTGAAAATGTTTCTCAACTCATCATGGGGAAAATTTGAGTGACTGATATAAGACGTGCATACCTAAATAATGCATATGATTTAATCCAGTAGTAATATAAATAGTATCGGTAAATTTATATTTGGTACAGCGAGGTGAACAGGTAGATTGCTGGACAATTTTAGGAGAAAGTGGGGGCATCTCGAGGTATTGTTGCCCCGTCATCAAGGTGCCAGCATCATAGTTTCTCAGCTTGTTTGTATAATAGATCTTTAATCCCGAAGAATCCCAATAATCATCTCTCATCTCAGGGTTCGTCCAGTGAAACTGAAATAAAAAATGAACTATCTTGATATTTTCAATAAAGTTGTTTTTAAAATCGAGTTTGACGTCTGTAGCGTAGATAGAGTATATTCGAGTGAAACGTCGTAATTTATTTGGACCTTCGGAGTTTTTTATGCTTATCAATAATCGAGTTCGAAGGGTTTTCGCTTGGGGGATCCACTGGGGTACCCACTGTTGTACCTTTACCAGTACATGACAATGTTATTAGATTTGTGTCTTGATGATAGGCCTAGATCTATATATGAATATCCGGCCTGGAGTGTACAACTCCCCAAAATATTATAGTACTCAGACCCCCTTGCTCTATGACTAGAGTATACACTTCCTGACACTTGACATGGCCAATAACCATTACCTGTAAAACACCTCGCTTCATGCCGTTCATTCCCATTCTGATACCAGCTTCTTTATAGAAACACTCTCCTGGTAGTCCAAGAGTCCAAAGTCCAATCAATGCTGAACATCCCC